TTACGCGCCGGCCGCCCTTTGCGCCCCAGGAAGATTCCTGGTACTCATTTCTGTTAGAGGCTGAGTCGGCCCCAGGGCCATAGTGTGGGTGGAAGGATTAGGATACTTAAACAATCCAATGACCTAATCGGGAATGGAGCCCATGACCTTCCGGCTTGTAGCGTAGTGCCTCAAACAACTACGCTATCGCGTGCCCTCACGTTCTAGCGAAAGCCTGGATGGCCGGGGTTCGATTCCCGGCAGAGGTAAAATCATTCTCTTCTCCACAACTTCCAGATCGGCTTTGGGACAGACCCAGCCTCCTGTCCAATGCAAACAGATAGCAATTTCTGAGGGGGGGGATAAAGCGACTGGAAAGTTACCCTCCAACTAGTGCCGAGGTCAAAAATGATGGCGCTATACCTCCATTTCCTCATGTGCCTTCATGGCTTAATGCTTAATTATATAAGCACAAGGACAACTTTATTTTTATTAATTTCTGACTAGTGTTTAACGAATTGTTTGCATAGCGACATGTACAGTTTTGAGCACACAATTAGCAGAACTTCTTTGTTAATAGATGAAAATATCCTGTTTATTGTTACTTAATAAAATTAATTAATGAACGCCAACTGAAAAGAATGTACGAAAGTGATTTAGAAGTTCCACACGAGCATTTGATTGTTAGCAAATAATGCTTCAGTCCAGTATTGTTAGAGATGGATACAATTCAATTTGTTTACTCACTGTGTGACTTCTGTTTTCAAAAACTTAGTGAAGGATGAGAATGGTGATCTGCTTGCAGATTCCCACAATATTTTGAATAGGTGGAGGAACTACTTCTCTCAGTTATTGAATGTACATAAGGTCAGTGATATTAGGCAGAGAGAAATCCATACAGCTGAGCCGTTAGTACCTGATCCTAACCCTTTTGAGGTTGAAAGTGCTATTGCAAAATTGAAACGGTATAAATCGCCAGGTACTGATCAAATTCCGGCAGAACTTGTTCAAGCGTGGGGCGAAATATTACGTTCTGAGATCCACAATCTAATTATTATATTTGGCATAAGGAAAAATTGCCTGATCACTGGAAGGAATCTATTGTTTTACCAGTTCACAAGAAGGGTAATAACACTGACGGTGGCAATTATCGAGGGATATTACTGCTATCAACTTCGTACAAAGTTTTGACCAATATTCTTCTCTCAAGTTTAAGTCCATACATAGGCGAAATTACTGGGGATCATCAGTGTGGGTTTCAACATAACAGATCAACTACAGATCAGATCTTTTGCATTTGTCAGATATTGAAAAAAAATGGGGGTACAATGAGACAGTACATCAGCTATTTGTAGACTTCCAGAAAGCCTATGATTCAGTTAGAAGAGAAGTATTGTACAATATTCTGGAGTTTGGGATACCCATGAAATTAGTTGAGCTGATTAAAAAGTGTTTAAACGAAACGTATAGTGAAGTTCGTATAGGTAAATATTTGTCTGATAAATTTCCTATCCAGAATGGTCTAGAACAAGGATATGCTTTATCCCCACTCCTTTTCAACTTCGGTTTAGAATATGTCATTAGGAAGGTCCAGAGAAACCAGGTGGGACTGAAATTAAACGGGACACATCAGCTGTTGGCCTATGCCGATGATGTGAATCTACTAGGTGATAATGTAGATACCATAAAGAAAAACAAACTTTAATTGACGCAAGTAAAGTGGTTGGTCTAGAAGTAAACACAGAGAAAACTAAGTATATATTGTTGTCTTGTCACCAAAATGCAGGGAAAATCATGATATAGGGAAAAGATGTTTTGAAAATGTGGCACAGCTCACATATGTGGGAACAACGATAACAGATCGAAACCTGGTTCAGGAGGAAATTAAGAGGAGATTGAACTCAGGTAATGCTTGCTACCATTCAGTCCAGAACCTTTTGTCTTCTCGTCTGCTGTCCAAAAACATAAAAATTAAAGTATACAAAACTATAATTTTGCCTGTGGTTCTGTATGGGTGTGAAACTTTGTCTCTGACATTAAGGAAGGAACATAGCCTGAGGGTGTTTGAGAACATGGTGTTGAGGAGAATATTTGGACCGAAGAGATGAAGTGACAGGAGGTTGGAGAAGGCTGCACAGTGAGGAGTTTTATAACTTGTACTTTTCTCCAAGTATAATTAGAATGATCAAGTCAAGGAGGATGAGGTGGACTGGGCATGTAGCATGATTGGTGGAGAAGAGGAATGCATATAGGATATTGGTGGGGAAACCCGAAGGAAAGAGACCGATTGGAGAACCAATATTAAAATAGATCTTAGAGAGACAGGATGAGATGGTATGGATTGGATTGATCTAGCTCAGGATAGGGGCTAGTGGAGGACTCTTGAAAACACAGTAATGAACCTTCGGGTTCCATAAAATACTGGGAAGTTGAATATGGTTTTGGGGTCGACTCAGCCTCTAACAGAAATGAGTACCAGGAATATTCTTAGAAGTAATGACCGACCGGCGCGTAGGGCTGACAGCCTTGCCGCCGTCTATGAGCCGATTGTCTACAAAATGTGGGAACTTCAACATCTCATAACCCTATGGGTTTCCACGGCATGTTACAGGGCTGGCTTTACTACCTTACACGAATATACAAACACACAAGGAGCGGATCACTTTCTCAGTGAAGTATGACAAAATAACAGCTTTTAAGATGAAGCTTCAGTTGTAGTGACTGTAAGTATGATCAAAGGCCGCGCCATAGCTCAAGCGGTTAGTCGTTGGCTACCCACCGCGGTGGCCCCGAGTTCGAGCCCGTGTGTAGTCAAGTTGGATTTGTGGTGGACAAAGTGGCGCTGGGGCGGGTTTTCTCCGAGTACTTCGGTTTCCTCTGCCAATCTTCATTCCACCAAATTCTCCATCATCACAATCACGCGGGGCAGGCTGCAATAGGCCAATCAGTGGCCGCCTTGCCGAGTGGACCCAATTGGACTCAACCCCCCACTAAGTGAATTAAAAGAGTATGATCAAAAAGTAAATTCTGAGTACAAACTTGTCCACTGGTTACAAAAAACACACGACAGAAATTCATTTTTCCCTCCCCTTTGCAAAATATACACCAAGCATGATGCCATCAACAACCCATATTCAATGACACATGTTCATTATGTAAACTTTCCAAAATAATTTGAAACGGAGAGGACAGATTTACAGTGCGAGACAGACCTGAGAAATACATTTCGACATATTTACTAGTTTTATTGTCCTGCTGACACTCTTTAGTGCTCAGCAATCCAGCACGGCGAATGACAAATCCTTCCCGAAGCACGTATGTTCATGAAAAATGTTCTTCTAAAATAAAAGAAATAAAAAGTAAATATAGAAATCCATTGCACGACGAAAAATTGGAGAGTTGCATCCGAGTCACTATTTCTTTGTTACGTCCATATATTGGAAGCTGTTTGCAAATAAACATTGGAAGACTTCTCCAGGACTTTCTTACAAGCTTCGAAATAAAACTGTAAATATTAAATTAATATTTTTTCCCTAATACGTACTAATATCTGTCTATAATAATTAATGTAAAATTTTCTATAAGAATATTATTTTTACTGTTGTCACTCAGCTTGTTGACCGCGCATGGTTTTGAGATCTTCAGTTTGGCCGTGGTACAAAAAAGGTTACACGCCACTCTTCTCAATGTATAACAAGAGTGAACGCTGATAGGTTTTCCATTTAGTAGGCCTGTACAGTTAAGGTGTCTCGTGAATTCGAATAAGTTCATACCTAACGGTCAATACTTTAATGTAATGAAGGATGTGATGTTCTCACAGCAGTAGTTATGAAAAGTTCTTACTCTGGAATGTAATACCGATGAAAGTCAACCGACGTTTCGGAGAAACATGTCTCTATCTTCACGTTTGAAGAATAAGACATAAAGAAATTGGCACGAAAGAGGCAGCAGATTACTTGGTTCATTCTTAAACCCTGAAGATTGAAGCGAAAAGATCTTACGAAACACCAATAAAACTTCAGCACACTACATGGCGTTATATCACAGAAATTAGAATTATTTGGAGCTGAATTTAATATATTTTATTATAACAAAATAATTTATTGCAATCTTCAATATTTAATTTATAATTCCTTCTTTTGACCGTGTCTGTTAGGTATACACCCTCTACCTTTATAATCCTTTCCATATTCGTACAAAACAAATTGTCATATATTTATCGTATAAGAGCATAAGTGTATAATATTCTTTTTATGCTGTTTTCCCCTTACATTTTTTGTTTTAAATTATGTGAATTCTTCTCCCTTTTTAAAATAATTTGTAATACAAGAATATAGGAAAAATTGTTGAATATTCTTGCTTTGTCTTTATTTCAAAGCAATGAGCTATAGCAGATTTAATTCGCGCTTATTGCTCCTTAACACAGAGAAAAGTTCGTGTGTTCAAGGATTCTATCACACTCCTCCACACTCACAGTCAAAATGTCTGGGGTGCATGGAGAGCAGTAGAGTTCCTCAGAAAATGCAATTACAGAAGAGTAATCAGATTGTGAAGGATCAAACATTTATATGAAGGATAAGGTTTACTATGACTAACATAAATTTCTGTTGATTTTCTTCTTAGAATGCCCCCGAAATGGAAACATGCATAGCCGAATGTTTTAGCCCGTTGTTTGTAACAGATTAATTCGTTTTTTTCATTACACGAAATTTCAATGTGTACAGTTTTTCAGAAAACGTACCAATTCTATCAACCTCAACATAACGTGCTTTGAAATGTACGTTGCGGCAGCTGACAACTTTCTTCAACATTGCAGAAAAGCATCAAATGCAGGAACCGTGATATTATGTCATTCATGTCCACCTCTCAGTGTAAGAGACCGTATTTCTGCCTAATACAAAGCAACAGGAAGAAATAAATCTTGCAACATAACATTAGAGCGCTAATACGAAGTGATTAGCTGTGCCACCAGCTCCTTGTTAGTAAAGATAAAGTTAATGAGTAATGAGGACTGAACTCACCCCATGATGGCCTGAAGCACACCCCTCTCCCATAGCTGCTCCTGGTCTTCATCTGCCTCTGATGTGTCATTTTGTCCACTGACATAATTTACAAGTATGTCGTAACGTCGGCGTGACCAGCAAATGGATGGATGAATGAATGAATGAACAGCTTGATTGAAGCTTGACTAGCCATAATGCGCGCGCATGATGCTTCTTATCTGTGTTATTGTCGTGATAACAACATGACATGACCAGCCATACGTACATGTTTCGTTAAATGAAAAATACTTCTTGCAAATCTGTCTTCGGCGGATATAGCCTATGTCAAAATCTGGTATAAGTTTCGTTCTTAATAAAGTTTCTCTGTTAGTTTATTCGACAATATTAGAGCAACAGAAAATATGTTCAGGCTATAAAATAAAGATGAAATTTCGAAAGAACAATCACTGAATTCAGGACAAACTTGTTAAAGCTTATTTTCCTATTGAACATAGTTCCGGCTTGTGTGTAGATGGTTGTGGTATCGAATCCTTTCCCCTAAACCCTTCAATACTTGTAGCTGAAAGTCTGTTTTGTTGTTCCTGCTGTTATTATCATCATGCTGTGGACTATGCTAGAAGCCGGAAGGACGCGATTTCGAGTCCGATGAGGCGGATTTCTTTTTTTAAATTTACCTAATTCCTCCAGCAGCACTATGTCCATGGAGTCGACTCAGCCTCTAACAGAAATGAGTACCAGGAATCTTCTTGGGGGGGGGGGGGTAAAGGACAGTCGGCCGCCATCTCTGAGCCGATTTTCTAGAGAAGTTGTGGGATCCTCGACGTCTCACAATCCTGTGGGCCTTCACGGTCTGTTACAGGGATAGCTTCGCCTTTACTCTTCTTTATAATCTATCTTCAAATAAACTGTCATATTCCGAGTGGCAAAGGTATACGTATTAACACAAGCGCTTGTTGCTAATAAGCGAGTTTGTGTAAGCAACATCCCCCCCCGCCAATGTTAAATCCGAGATATGTTACTAACAGGAGATGAATTATTTCAAATTGTTTAAAAATTGATATATCTTTGAAGAAAAAATAAAAGAATTAGGTTCAATGTGTGATTAAGATGGGGATAAATATACGAAATTCATAAAGGCCCTTGTGGGTTCGTGTATTTTCGTAAACGGGAAGTTACGTTACATAATAGCACGCCATTTACTCTTTATGGGTCAGAGACTTGATTTTTTATTTTCGGGGAAGAATATAATTAACAGATGATTGGAAACAATATTTAGTACGATGTATGAACCTAATATAAAGGAATGATATCGAGAATAGAGGATATTACAGAAGAAGAAATTTGTTCCCTTATTTTAGGATATAAAATTTAAAATATTTGCAGTGTACTTAAAATATTTCCGTGACCAAGGAAAATGTAGAAAATGTTAATGGAGAAAATTCTTGTAAGACAGCCATAGAAATGAGAAAGATATCAGGGGATAATATTAAATAAATCGTCAAGAAATTTTTATCATATTAGCCGCTCTTCCAAGGAAGAAACAGTGGTCTCAATTTCACATCAATATTTGTGGCAATTGTTCATATAGAATTGTTCGCTGCTGTAAAAATCGCTGAATAAGAAATTTTTCACTGACAATTTTAATAAATTCGTAGTTCTGATGCGTGTTTATTGTGAATAATATTGTCTACATTTAGAAGGTTTGAAAATGTTAATATTCACTAAAATGTAGGTCAATATGTAACCGCTTATGACAGAATTTATAATATCAGATACACTTACAATTAAACCGGACTTGGTTTATTGGCCTGTTTCTGACGCCATTTCACTTTAATTTCATCAAATGCGATTCAAGAAACATGTGGAAATATTCAGTATCTGAAATTTCATTACATCCAAAATATCAGCACGCGTGCTTCCAACGTAGGGTACTAAGATTTTGCATACTGGGCGATCTTAGAAGAATACTCACAATTCACTAGTCTAAATTTCATAAAAATTTAAAAGTAACAACATAGCGAAACTGCGAAATGTTTTGAAGAGAAAATAACTGTCGAAGTCACTCTAAAATTGAAGGTATGGATGGTCACATATTATAAGCTCTTGAACAAAATTCTACAACGATCTTTTTTTTTCGACTCCAAAATTAGGGACCCATGAACATTAGCACTGATATATAAAAGCCGGAGGGGAATACTGTGAAGGGATTTAGTGTTGCATATGGAGGGTGTCAGTTCCGAACGCGATTTGAACAAGATAAGAACTCTTCTAAAGGACTTGGAATTCTCGGAAACAAAGAAACGATAAATTGTGGAGTGACCCGTACCAAAGCTTTACTTGTTTACATTCTTCTTTCTCTGATATGTGACATGAACAGGTTTTACAGACGTTGAAATTTTATTTGGAATGATTTTTAAATTCTCCAGACTGGAAGTAGTATATCACACTAGACCGTAACAAGAACAACTAATTTAATTTATTTGTAAATCATTACACAAAGGTGAAAGGCCAAAATATAAAAGCAAAATTTCTTCACACAGTTCAGTAGATCTCCAGATCATGATTAGTGGCTGCCCTTATTATCATTTTTATTATTATTATTAGTAGTAGTAGTAGTAGTATTAAAGCTGACAACCTTACCGCCATCTTTGAGCCGATTGTCTAGATAGTGTGGGACCCTCAACGTCTCACAACCCTATGGGCCTTCACGGCCTGGTACAGGAATAGCTTTACTTTTTTTTACTATTATTATCATCAACATCACAGTAGTAGTAGTAGTAGTAGTAGTAGTAGTAGTAGTAGTAGTAGTAGTAGTAGTAGTAGTAGTAGTAGTAGTAGTAGCGGTAATCACGTAAATAATCAAATATATTGAAATATCATTATAATTTTTTATTGAAATTTCTCGCCCAAAGTACTTTTTGACTTACTTTTTCATGAGACACAGAGCATGAAGGACTCAACTCTCTCCTCCATTTCACATCTCTGAGAAGGGCACTTCTGTTATATATTTAAGGGAGTTTCTTTCCAAAACAAACATATTTTTCTAGTTATATTCATTAAGATAACGTTCGATAACAAAAGATTTCGCTCTTCTCAACAGCGTCATAACGGCTCTGAACCCACATAACCTCCTGTCCGTTGAATGTCGGGAGTTCTTTCCCCGACGGTGAATTTGCCAAGGCGAATAAGTAACCATGCGTTTCAATAACGTGCCGAAGTTAATAGGTGGAGCAGTACCTACATTCTCCCACACGTCGTCATGGCGTAGTGCCTAATAAAGCATAGGAAAAATTTTACATTTTACGTTCTGTACAAATCAATTAAAACCATCTCATGCAGCACGTTTCATGAATGTATGCCAGTATATGAAGCTAAAGATGTTTGCATTGCGCTCTTAAGCATTCTTAAAAGTCAAATTCTTATTATTAATATCTTGAGCTTTAATTTCCATGGTTCCTACATTCATCAGGAAAAATTGGATATTTGTCCCTAAGATCAGTCAATTAAGTATGTTCTGGGGGTAAAATGTATACAAAAGTATTAAAACAAAAGAATGTGGTGTAAACGGTTAAACGTATCATCTTCTCGAAAACTGTATCTTGTAGTGCAACACGAGACATAACACTCTGAAGCAACGAGCAAGAACCTGAACCCATAGCTTAACCTTAGCTAGACGCCGAAACTCAGATAAGAATTTATCTCCATTTTTAGTGTCTTCCGCCCTTAGCAATACGAAAGGCGTTACAAGTGATATAGTTCGTCTGCAACACAAAGGCTATCAATTGTAGAGTGCTACTGTACCACAAAAGCAGGATACATTCGAACTTTCAATACCAGAAGGTTAATCTGTAAATACAGTTTTACGTAACAGGGAAAAATCCAATGAACTCATCGGGACTTGAACCCGCGACCTTCCGGCTTGTAGAATAGTGCCTCAATCAACTACGCTACCTCGTACCCCCTACCCCACCCCACTAACAATTAAAAAAAAATACCTTGTCTCTCAACTGTTTCACCTCGTCAACACAGACCAGAATGTGTCTCGTTTAATTTCAGTCCCACCTGGTTTCCCTGGAACTTCCGAATAGCGTGTCATAAAGCAAAGTTGAAAAAACGACGGTGATAAAGCATCTCCTTGTTTTATACCATTCTGAATAGGAAAAGTACAAGACAAAAGTTTACCTATGCCGACTTTGCTATAAGTTTAATTAAAAAAATTAACAAGTCTACCTTGTTTCGTGGGTTTTCCAAACTCGATAAGGACATTGTACAATATTTCCTCTCTAACTGAAATATAGGCTTACTTTAAGTATATGAATAGATGTCTCATTGTACTCTTATTTCTCCACCAGTCTAATGAATGAAGAAATCTAATAAATGGTTGATCTGTTTCGTCTAAACTTTCACTGATCATCCCCAACAATTTTGTCTATATGTGGACTTAGCCTAAAGGAAGTTGGATAACATTTTGTGTGAAACTGATTATAGTGATATGCCTCTATATTTACTGCAGTCAGTTTTATCGGCTTCCTGTAAAGTGATACAATAACGAACTCATTCCACTGCTTAGGTAATTCTTTCTTATTCCTAATATAAATAATGTGTTTACGGGTCTCAGTATTTAATGATTCACTTCCTGCTTGAATAAGTTCTGCCTTAATTTGATAAATACCTGCTGATTTATACTTTTTCCAACTTTGCAATAGCAATTTCAGCATAATAAATACTACGCTCAGTTGCTAATGACTGTTTTGTATGTACGAGATTATTTCCACATGTTTGACGTCACTAATACTATGCATATTCAGCATCTGAGAGACTTGAGAGAATCTGCAGGAAGTTTACCATTCTTACCATTTACCCAATTTTAGGTTTGTAACTCTTCTTAAATTTATGTATTTCTTCGTGTAAATCTCTAATGATTTTGTACTTACTGCGTTGTAAGCTGAATATTTTTGTATTCTGGATATTCCGTGTTTTTCCCCTGTAATATTTACTAGCTTCACAGTTTACATTTTTCGGATTATACACATTTGTTCGGTTTGGATCCTGTGAACACTGTAATATGGGTTCCTTCCTTTGATTCAATAGTTTTTAGTATCCTTTGTCGAACCATGACTTATGTCGCTTTGCTTCTTAATAACCTAGAATTCTTTTGCCTGA